ACTTAAGCACATTTGCGTTTTGTAGTTGTTTTGTTTTTATTAAGCGCTCACTAAAGAAGAACGTTGTGATTTTGTTTTCTAGGCATTTTATTTTTTCTTCAGGTAAAATCCAAGTAGCTTAACCACGTAGCTTCAAAAAGAGCGCGTCGTTTTATATAGGTCATTCCAGCAAGAGAAATGAACACGTGCGTATTTCGGTTTCGCACTCGGGGCTGCAGCTGCTACCCACGGATATAGGTCATTCCAGCAAGAGAAATGAACACGTGCGTATTTCCGTTTCGCACTCGGGGCTGCAGCTGCTACCCGCAGATATAGGTCATTCCAGCAAGAGAAATGAACACGTGCGTATTTCGGTTTCGCACTCGGGGCTGTAGCTGCTACCCGCGGATGCGGACATCCTGTTATTTCTGCGGAGCGGTATAAGATAAATTAATATTGTGGAGAGTTTGACAGCTTTCAGAATTTCGATAGTCGACTGACTTATACGCCAAAACAACACGTGCCTTAAAACACCAAGGGTAGGGTGTTTGATAATAGGAAGCCCCACGCTTTCGGTCCTCCCAGTCAGCGCAGGGGAGGACCAACAGCTTTTAGGCGCCTTAATGTAAAATCCTTCAGTGGCGCGTTGACACTGGCGGTTGAGCTACGTTTTCGAAGCGGTCGGACGCCGTTCGCGATTGACTCGTTCACACACAGAGACCCGGTTGGCACGTTCTCGGTGATCACGCGTGATATCCCGGGATTTGCGTTTAGCAACCTTGGTTTACAATTTAAAATACAGGTTAGTCCACGATACAACGCAAAATTTAGATCCTTCGGTACAGGTTTTTCTTCGGGCTGTTCGCACGCACTCCAACACTACTATGACGATTCCAATGACTTCGACCACAAGCAAAGCAAAGCTAGGCGCGCTTGGTTGAATGGAGGCATGTGCCCCGACCTTTTTCTTCCAAGTGGACCATTCCCATCCAAATAAATGACCTCGTTATAGGAATAACGCCAGATTCACACTCGCGGTTGTACTGCATTCGCAAAGCGGTGGCGAAAGCGGTTACTCAAAAATCAAACCCATTTTCACAGAGACGATGAAAATGAGCGGATGCGCTTCGAGATTGCGATTTCAACAGAAGGGTTAATACACCCAGCCTCTCCTCCCTCCTCCTCCTCCCCCCCCCCCCCCCACCCCGATGACCATGGTTGCCCGCGCAGATATCAGTGAGCGTCTGTTCCTGACGGGATGCTCGTCGCGAAAAAAGCTCGCTTGAAGATGCGCGTCTCGTTCAACGCTTCGGCCCCGAGCTGGAACCGTCGATGGTGGTCAACAGAACGAAGGGCGAGGGTAAGACGGGCTGGGGAGGAGGAAGCAGACGGAACGCTGGAGAAGAAAGGGGGAAACCTCCTTCTCTCTTTAGCGTTCTATCTGCTTTATCCTCCGCGGGCCGTCTTACCCTCGTCCTTCGTTCTTAGGTTGCAACGGACAGACAGCAAGGTGGTCAGACATGAAGCAGAGAAAACTGTGAGGCTAATATCCCAAGTGCGGTGTCGTGCCCCAAATGAATTTGTTTAGTCGTTTTTGCATTACACTTGTTGTTGCAGTATCTTCTTTTTGGTTGCTTTAATTTTGTAATCAACTGGTTCCTAACGAATTAAACGTTTTTATTGATTTCAGGTCTTTGGTTTTAATTAACTGTTGTAAATTTATGTTTTTGACGCCAATCTTATACAGTCCAAGAGTAACCCGGATTTGCGAGCATTTGGGAATTTTTTCAATATGTTAAGAAAAAAGTGACGCTAAAAATTTTCATAGAATTTAAAATGAAAATGTGTTAAAGAGTGTCATCATCGTTTAAACTCATTGTTTTAGATCCCATTTTCCTTCCAACTTCCAATGAAAGCAGTTTAAGTTCACATGTTGAAAATAAGTTGGGTCATCTGGAACAACTGTTGTAGTGAATGAGTTGTCAACCAACGAAAAAAAAAATTGCAAAACGATCGCTGATGTTGGTAATTACCGTATTAGAGAATATTTGATCTGTGTTTACATTGGTGATGAACAGAGCAATAACATTAGTTTCTTTTACGTTGATTTGGAGCAGGCTGCTCGAATAATTATTTAGCCCGTGCAGTACTCCTCGGCTGATTTTAACGTCCATCACGTAGTGGTGATATATAAACGTAGACTGGTACGATGCTCATCCAGATCGAATCGGGCATTATTTCGCTCCTCGTCCTCCGAGACGTGGTGCCCCTCCGTAGTTTTGGTTTTGGCCACTGGCCCACAGCTTGTGCGAATGCGAGTTAGCGAATGTGTTGACTCTACTTCACCCAACAATCTCATCAAAAAGGATCTGTTGATATTTCACAAGTCCCATTCACGTAAGTTGCCCTCCCGCAAAAAATGGGCATTTATCCAAACGCAACACCTCCGAATACTAACACTTTTTTTTTTCTCTTAAATGAAACTTGAGTCTGTAGAAGTCGCGCTTTCAACACCGGAGTCTTGCAGTCAAAATAAATGGTCACCTCAATCGCTAAAACTGAGTTACTGAGAACAAGTCGTGCCTCGTCTCTGCATCTACCCATAACCAACCTTCCTTGGTAGTCCAATGTCGAACTCAAAATCCGCAACGGCACACTTGATGCACGGTACGTTCCACTTAAAAAGCACATTCAGGGGCAGTATCTAGACGCCGTCATACGATCGTCGTCGCTGTTTCAGATAACATTCCAGATGAACAACGAAGAACGAACCGCGCCCGGAACGTCACCCATGGCAACACCCTGCTAATACAAAACAGATGCGAACCAAAAAAAGAAAAAAAAAGGCTTCTGGGAAAACGGAAAAGAGAGCAAAAGAGAGAGAGAGAGACAAAAAAGAAAAAAAATGTGTTTGCTTTTACGTCACTTTACCGGCGCGCTGAAAATGGCGACCTTCGACCTTCTCCCGTGCTTGGGGCATTGCTGTGTCCATGTGTTATGTGTAGTGGGTGGGGGAAAAGAGATTTTCCTGTGCCCGCCCTTCCCCTTTCCACCAACCCCCTACCCCGCATTCTTTCAGATGGGGCACATAGGGTCCGTCGGGAAAATTGAAAGGAATCTTTGTTTCAAAAGAACCTGTTTTTAGTACAGCCTTCGGCAGAACTTAGAAGCTGGTCGCCGTTTTTTCTTCCTGTGTCGTCTCCGGTCATTGCGGGATCCGGTTTGGATTCGCGGTGCTGCAACACTGCACTTGATCTGTTCTGAAATCACAAGACAAGGGAACTCGATTAAGGTATGTCGAAGTACTTCTGTTTATGGTATATTCATTAACTGCGGCTTCAGAAAGTGTTTTATTTTGAGCGCGTTCTCTGGCTTTCATAGCGCGCGCTATGCTCTATTCTTTTTGGCACCGAGGTTGCTTATTTTGCTGTGCAGCACAGAGACCTGTCTGTCTATGCTGGAAAAAGCAATAAGAAACTTCATCGTGACGTCGCCGATGGGAGGAGCCTCATCTCAATCGGCGGCGAACTCAACTGGCCGGGAACTTCATCGCGGCGCGTTGATGACGTCGACGAAGAGCGCCGATTGAGTTGTAACTTCATCGGGATTTGTACCCAAAAAGTGTCCCTAGAGGGGAAAGCGCAACGTCGCATCGGAGGTTCTTGTAAAAGCAACGATTTTAACTTCTGAAAATGTATAATTTGGTACAATCTAAATATAATTACCGGTGTCAAGTTTAGGTCACATGAATCATGTCTTTTTACGTAAGTGAAACAATTTAGATGATAGCAATGCGTGAGCTACATCGCGATCGTGATGAATCGTCATGGCCGACGGTGGATGTCGCGCGTAAAGTGCTCGAGTGTCTGCACGAGGATTTGCCTCACTTTTGGAATTTTTGCTGTCAAGTCGGGCTTTTTCAAAGGTTGTCACGTCGCAATTGCCACTCGGCAGTGTGGTGGGGGACGTGAACCAAGTGTCGTCGCAAAGACGCGGAAGAAGGCGCATGATTTCGAGGGAGGACGCGCCTCGTCCGTCGTTACACCCCTTAGCGAAAAACCGGGGCTCTTAGAGTATACTTTATTTGCACTTCCAGAAGTATGCTTGTTGCTCTAAATTGGCCGGTTTTTAGTATACTTCTGACGCACTTCAAAGTAGCATTTCGCCATACTTTTAGTATACTTCTAAGCATACCTGTAAGAGGCATTTTAGTATACTTCTTACGCACTTCAAAAGTAACATTTCGCTATACTTTTAGGATACTTCTAAGCATGCCTGTAAGAGGCATTTTAGTACACTTCTTACGCACTTCAGAAGTAACATTTCGCCATCCTTTTAGGATACTTCTTCTAGTACACTTCTGAGCAGAATTTTAGTATGCTTTTATGCAGGCCTTTAGTACTATAAATTGTACCCCGGATTAAATTTGGAAGCAGGCTTTCAAATATAATCGGGGGTACACTTAATAGAACTTTTAAAGCATTTCACCAATTTATTCCTGACCAATTCCAGATAAGAAAAGTAGAAAATTATATTGATTTAGCAATTGCAGTGGTTTGCAGTTATCGAAACTGAAATGCATTATGTTACAGGCTTTAATGTAGACGAGTTCAAAGTGATGACAAATTAAAGTAAGAACTTTTTATTAAACAAATATTTTTTTCAATATAATGAACACATGTTGCCTAAAACAAACACTTACGATGGAACAAAAAACGTAATACTTTTAGTGGCTTACAAATATCACAGATGCACTTAAAGCTTTATAAACAAGCTCTTATTAGAAGAAAAAAATAATTACAAACTATCATGATGAAGAAAAACGAGCAAAAATAGTATTGCACCTGTTAATATAAAACCTATTTATCATCTACCATGACTGAAGTAACATCACCTACATGACTGAAGTAAAATGAATGAAAAAAGTTAATGCACTTGTTAAATAAAATCTAAATTAATCGCTAATCAGATTTAAGAGAAAAAAAAAGCCAATGCGCAAAATAAATAAAAATGAAAGCTAATTTTTTTTTTTTTTTTTTTCATTCTGCAGTTTTCTTTTGTGTGTTGGAGGCTTTGTTTTGAGTGTAGGAAGCATTGCTGCACTTCCTTTACAGGTATTCTTTCACGGACTTCCGAGTTTCTCCAGGGAATTGGCAGTAACAAAAGCTGAAAAGAGAAGACAATAGACAATTAAGGAACTTGCCTTAAGACTCCATATTTACTTAATACTACTTAAAATTATACTTCAGGTCCACATAATTTTAGAAAATTTCACAAAAAGAAACCAACAACAAAAAGTTAATCATCTAAATATATTGAGCACGGGGACCAATGACTATGTTTATTGGCAACTGTGAAATATTGCTGCTGTGAAATAATGTAAAACAAGGCATTTCGTCAATTTGCAATGCATTAAAGGGATCATGAAACAAGTTTACTGTGGAAACAGTCTGGAGCTCGTTACTTTTATTTCTTTTACCTTATCACAAGTACGAGAAAACACACCGTGATCCCTCAAAATGTCGCGAGTGCACTGCGTAATCAGAAAGGAAAAAAGGGTCCATTTTTCATCATGCAGCTTATGGTGGCCACAGGAACTACTGGCTTGGCGCCAATAGTGGTTGAGTTTGCGGGTTGAGCAGGTATCTGCCCAATTTGAAGCTAAGGTTTTTATAAAAGTTGTCATTCACTCATTTGGCCCCCAATTCATGTCACACGCACGTGACCTGGAAAGGACTCTAAAGGTTGAGGGGCCCCCCAAGCTTAAGTCTATTTAATTTTTTTAATAAAACTAGTGCACCTTGGAAAAAATTGTTTTCTGATCTTCACTGCACATGCGATGGTGAGATACTGCCACACTTACTTGGCCGAAGTCTGAGGACTATTTCATAACCCCTTTAAAAGCCTGCAAACATAACATTCTTTGTGACAGGGACTCTCAAACTTTCTGACATCAGCGAACAAAAATTTACTAATGTTATTGTTAGCCGAGGAGCCCCTTCCACTATTGGCATTGTTGCAATTGAGTGTATGACAATGGTGTAGGAACGATTGAGGAAGTTCAGGTGCTGAAAGAACCCTCAGTATACTGTACTAGGAACCCTGTTCGAGAACCAGTGCCTCAGGATATTTGGCTAGAAAGTCGGAGATAGCGTAGCTAGACAATAATTTTAAACACACAGATGACCACATTTTTTTAATTTTGATTCTGACATCTATTTTATATTATAATTCAGGGTTTACTGATATAAAACCAACTGAGGCCATACTGTACCAAACAATTACTTTAAAAACAACTGAACAAGCTGAAAGTTTTTGAAAGATTCAGCAGCCTAAAGCTGGGGTAAACAGTCAGCTATCTTCAGAAAATTGTACACAAAAGTAAACAATACTGAAGTTTCGTTAAGTTTAATCGCTGATATAAATCGACGATCAAAATTAAGCAGAAGGAACATCAGAGTCAATTATAATCTAGGCAAAAATTAAAGTATGCTAGAACTGGGGCACATTATTGCAAACCAGAGGTGTAGCGCAAGACGTAATGACACAAAAAGACAAATACCTCCCCCAACATAAGCCAAAAAGAAACAACCATCCATGAGTACCGAGACACAAGTCCAATGGTGACCAGACAAAAGCTCACCGGACAGAAGCTCACCCGTTTTTTTCTTAGACCCACACAATAGCTCACCCCCTTTTTTTTGGCTACCCGGTGAGTCACGAGCTGGGCCAAAGTGCGGACGCAATGGACATTGCACTATTTTTAGAAGAAGTGGTACCCCATCTCATGCAACAGTGTCGACAGGTAAGCCATAACAGGCACAGAAGCAACGATTTGGGACAAAAATTTAGGTCACCAAAATGAGTGGAGCTGAAGCTGATAAGATCAATCTGGGTTGACTCAAGGTATGCCACAACCGTCTGGAAAATATTTGCAAGGGGCTCCAGGTACACCGAGACCTACCAAGACTGCTGGAAACAGCCTGTACGGGACTGCATTTCCTTCTAACCAATCGAAAAACTTGTTTCCAGTCTAATCAACAAACCATGTGCCTATCAGATTTAATTCATTGTTGTGTTTTAGTGTCGCACGCATGCACCTAAGTTGTCTGCACTCGTGTTAAGACCAACATGAAATTTTCACGTGGTGAGCTTTTGACCGGTGAGCTTCTGTCTGGTGAGCTTTTGTCCAAGATTTAAGTCCAATATATGTCAAGAGTAAACTTAGTATTTGTTCCTGTTAAGTTTGATTGCAATAGTGCCTTGCCATTTCCTCTTTATGGCAATTTACTCACCTATCAAGTCCTTAACTCCCTTTTTAGGAAGCTTTCCCTTCATTGCCGACCCCGTAAGGCAGCAGTTTGTCAGGGCCTCAGTTTCAAATACCATGACCGCGAGTTCCTGAACGTAAATGGATGGCTGCTTCGTGTCGACATGCTTCAACTGCGCTTCAGGAAGCGCAATGTCTCCAAAGGTTATCTGAAACATAAAAATAGAACCAAATACGGTCATTACATCCATATGAATGCCTTTTAGATGAGCGCATGTGCACGAATGGCCGTGACATGCTGGTGGTAAGGAAGTGTTTGATGAAGAGAGCTAGCTAATAGTAAAGAGGGTAATAAGGCTAGTTTGAACATTTACTATATAAAGTCCACTGGTCAGGCTAGTCACCATCACATTGGCGCAAAGCATTTTTGTTTAATAGGGCGATTGATGCCTCACTCACACGCTTTTTTCCTTTTTCCCAAATTTCATATGCTTCATGCAGTTCTCTGCTTGTTCTGTCATTGTATTTGCGAGAATCTTAACATAATGCAATACCGGGGAACAGAGGCATCTGCTGCAGCGAATGGCGAGGTGGCCAGACAGGCTGGCTGGCGTGGCAGCCACATGCTCACGGGCAGGGTCATTCCCACATCTGGCCCATATACACTGCCCCTCACAATATTGGTATCTGATACACAACGCCCAAAACACACCCAGCAATTTTATCCTTGTGTTTTATGCTGCAAGGCTAAGACGGCGGGGCTTGGGCCTGTTGATTCTGTGGCAGAGCCAAGCCATCCTATTGTGTGCCGAAGACATCACAGTAGTGCGGTACCGCTGACCGACTTCCTTGAATTGTGTGACACTGAGTGTACATACCTGCCAACCTGTGGAATTTCAAATTCATAAAAGTCGCGCGGCTGCGGCCGGGGGGGGGGGGGGGGGGGGGGGGGGGGTTACGCGAAGCGATGTGCAGCTTAATGTCAGCCTGGCCAGCGTGCGAAACGCTTACATCACACGTGTACGTGCTACACAATCCAAACTTCTCTTGCTTTTTGGGCGGCATGAAGCACGGAAATTTCGACGTGTAGGACTTCAGGAACACCTGAAAGTACCTCTTTTGAGGTTTCGAGTTCGGCATTGCGCCGCGAAGCCACAGTGACAAGGAGAATGCTACAGTTACACGCGCAACAAACACAGACGCCATACTTTTTGCCTCGAAACTGGCCGAAACAACGAGGCCCCAGCAACGTCTGAACACGCCGAGCCAACTTGCACCTCTGCACCGCCGAACACACGAACAAAGGCTTTGAGCTTTGGATTGGTTTTCGATTCGTGGCCACCGGATAGACGGATAGTAAAAACCACGACGCTGCTGTGGACGGTACCTATCGCCCTCTTGTGGCAATACAAGATACCACCAACAACGGAGTTACAAAAACAACAACAAAAAAAATAAAAAAAAATTTTTTGTAAGATTTGAAGCAAGATTCGTAAAATCGTAAAATTAGTCTCAATTTGTACATTTTACGAAAAATTCGGAAGAGTTGGCAGGTATGAGTGCAAGTATGGTACCACATCTGGTCTCACATTGGGCCTCTCACGAGCAGGCTTGTTTATGCCTCAACTTTATTTAACAAGCTTTTGGCGACCTGAATTATACACATCTGCAGGTAGCTTGCTTCTGGATAAACAAACCCACTCGTGAGAGGTCCAATGTAAGACCAGCTGTGATACCATACCCTCAGTTTCACACAATTAAGGAAAGTCGGTCAGCGCCACCGCATTCCCGTGGTGTCCTTGGCATCCAATAAGATTGCTCGGCTCTGCCACAGAATCAACATCATAGAGCAGCCGTCTGAGCCTTGCAGCATAAAACACAATAATAAATTTGTGGATGCATGAATGAACGTGCCCATGAGCACGTGGCTGCCACGTGAGCTAGCCTGTCTGGCCACCTCGCCATTCACTGCAGCAAATGCCCCTGTTCCTTGGTGTTGCACGATGTTAAGATTCTTGCCAGATACAATGCCAAAACAAGCAGAGAACTGCATGAGGAATATGATATTTAGGAAAAAGGAAAAGAGTGTGTAAGTGGGGCATCAATTGCACTATTAAACAAAAATGCTTCGCGCGAAGTGATGATGACTAGGCTGGCCGAAGAGGCCTACATAGTAAATTGTCTTTCCAAATAAACAACAGTTACGTGTGTGCCAAGGTTAATAGTAATCAATATTATTGATTATTATTAGCTATATTCCTAACAGCCATGCAAGTGTCCCTTTAAGAGAACATGCACATAGACTGTAGTAAGTGCCTCCAACTATAATTACGCTTCACTCTGTGATTGCAGCCTCCGGAAGTTCTGAATTGGCAATCTTGCAGCATGCAGCAGTCGACTGGGGAAGTGTTATCGAAGCTGAAGAAAACATCCGCTGTCGAGCACATTCCAGGCTTGATCTGCGTCGTTTATTAAAGCAGTTTTCTGATTGTTTTTTTTTATTTTGAAAATGCTAGTCCTTAAAGGCAACGCCCAGAAATTTTTAAGAAACTTCTACACATTATGCGATCGAGAATGAAATGTGTCCCACAGTGGATACAGTAAAACCCCAATTATGCGTCCCCGGTTTATGCACAACTGGACGAGTCAGCAGAAACTCACTGATTTCTTTTGAAGTTCCAATGTGATAATAAAGATTGATTGGCACCTCTATTACACAATTTCTAGGTTACATTCATAGTTGCATGAGGGTTCTAGCTTCTTCAGATTCCAGCAGATTATCAGCTTAAAGGCTGTTTGGAAGTTCTGTATGTCTTTGACCCGTAACTGTTGTTTTTTGGATTATCCAATGTTGTCGCGCAGTCTCCTGAAAGTCACATAATCGAGGCACCACTATATCCTCCAGCTTTGAAAACGCCTCAACCGATTGAATGCTGCGCGCCCTACAGTGGCTGAATGAGAACTTCCGCTGGCCGCATTCGTGGAGTGTGGCAGCATCACTCGGAAAATCATCGAAAGATAGTGGTGAACCTAATACACTATTTCCATCCAGTTCCCAGAATTTAGAAGGCGTGCGTAGAGGCAATGAGGGATATATCTGTTGCAAAAATTGTTCCCTGGGTTCTAACTGAATTATATTTAGGTTATGAAAATGATCAGCAGAAAGCAGTCCTGGCATTGTTGGGATGGCCTAAGCCTGCATGAACAAACACCCCATATACAGCATCTAATTAAAAAAAAGAACCTTTTAAAAAAGAGGACGGGTCTGCTGAAACCTTGCAAACCACGAACAAAGCAAATCACTGAGATTTAAGGACACGACAGAAACAGAGACAACACAAAACAATTCAGAAATGAAACCAACAATACGGTTAGCACTGTTTGAAGAACCATTACCTTTCTATGCCTCAACATTGCTAAGCTTCTTCCATAGATTCCAATGCTTACCTCTTCGCACATCCTGGTGGAATGTGGAAACTTAGGCCTCACATTAAAAGGTAAGTAAGTATAGCTATGGTTCTAATAGTTGAACCTCTCTAATAGGCACATTTTTTGCTAGAACATATGGTTCGTTCACACTTTTAAAAAGCAGTCTTGCTGCCGACCGAATTTGGTCACCAAAAAAAGACCGAACTGTTCAGGCTTAGCAGAATGGACAATTGGGCGAGTTTACGGTAGAGATCATTATAACTTACAGTGCGACTAGGACAAAGAGAGACAGAGGAGAAAACACAGGCCAAGCGCTTAACGAGCAACTGATTCGATTGAAAAGGAAATACATATGATGATGCTGCTGCTCGTCCAGGCATGCACCTCCGTGGTCCTGGCGCTTTTTCTTTCACTTAACACGATACCAGCCGAATTATCCGAGATACAAAAAGCCGATCTCGCTCTTTATCAAAGTCACTGTGGGCTGGCTCACACACAAGGATCCGTTTTGTGTTATGTAGTACGTCTGCATCATTTCTCGGGGTAGTTTCTGGTTGTGTCAGAACATCACTGTCGTGTTGTTCAAAAGGGGTTGGCATCCGATCTCCCGGCAATGCATTGTGAGATGTGTGTGAGCGGTTCCTTTCATAGAACTGTGGTGTTTTCGTAGTCTTATGTTGAGGCAACTCCCAGTTTGTCCTATGTAGACACGCCCGCAGGAAAACGGGATCTTGTAGACCACACCTTTTATGCAGGCGACAAACTGCATTCCGTGTTTGATGCTGCAGCGGCTGTGAGATGTGGAATCGTCATTTCTCGCACGTTTGTTGACTGTGGAGCACACAGATCTAAGCTTGTGGCGGGCGGAAAAAACAACATTCACATTGTATCTCGTGGCAGCTTTCTTGAGTCCGTGGGAAAGACGGTGGATGTACGGTATGACTGAAGTTTTCCTTTTCTCTCTCTGCTCGAGGTCACATTGCTCGATCTCTGGATCTGTTTTAAGGTATTTCATGATTTTTTCGCAAGCTGAAGTAATGACCGAATTAGGATACCCCGAATCCTTGAACCGTTGAATTTGGGACATGAAGCTGGAACTCAATTTGTGGATGCATGTGCTTGTTAAATCTGTCCTCAGACAGGAAAATGCGATGCCTTGTGTGACGAGTTTGGAGTGGGCTGAAGTCCACATTCATCGGATGGCAGGACAAGGTGTACCTACAGAAGTCCGGAGTATGCATAGGGTCGAGGGTAGCCTCTGTGCTCAGTAACATCTTCCTAGGCAAGATCCATCGGGATCTGGAACCTTGCTTGGAGAAAAACACCAAAAAAGTGTTTAGGTACGTAGACGATTATTTGGTCTTCGTTGAGAGGGCTAATTTCCATCAGAAGCTTGACGATGTGCTGAAGATCTTCACAAAAAAAAAGGCAAGGACTTCGATTCACCTATGAAGCCCCAAAAAAGAACCTTATTGAGTTCCTGGATCTCCGCATCAAAGAGGGGGATGATCATGTTTGCTGGTGTTACAGTCCCAGAACAGCAAAGGCTCTTCTAAACTTTCAGTCAGCCCACTCTAAACTCGTCAAACAAGGCATCGCATTTCCCTGTCTGAGGACAGCTTTAACAAGCACATGCATCCACAAATTGAGTTCCCACTTCATTTCCAAAATTCAACGGCTCAAGGATTTGGGGTATCTTAATTCGGTCATTACTTTAACTTGCGAAAAAATCGTGAAATACCTTAAAACTGATCCAGAGATCGAGCAATGTGACCTCGAGCAGAAAGAGAAAAGGAAAACTTCAGTCATACCATACATCCACCGCCTTTCCCACGGACTCAAGAAAGCTGCCTGGAGATACAATGTGAATGTTGATTTTTCCGCCTGTCACAATCTCGGCTCTGTGTGCTCCACAGTCAACAAACGTGAGAGAAATGATGATCCGACATCTCAGCCGCAGCAGCATCAAACACGGAATGCAGTTTGTCGCCTGCATAAAAGGTGTGGTCTATAAGATCCCGTTTTCCTGCGGGCGTGCCTACATAGGACAAACTGGGCGTTGCCTCAAGATAAGACTACAAGAACACCACAGTTCTACAAAAGGAACCGCTCACACACATCTCGCGATGCATTGCCGGGATTGCGGATGCCAACCCTTTTTTAACAACACGACAGTGATGTTCCGACACAACCAAAAACTACCCCGAGAAATGATGGAGACATACTACATAACACAAAACGGATCTCTGTGTGTGAGCCAGTCCACAGTGACTTTGATGAAGAGCGAGATCGGCTTTTCGGATCTCGGATAACTCGGCTGGTATCGTGTTGAGTAAAAGAAGAAGCGCCAGGGCCACGGAGGGGCATGCCTGCCTGAGCAGCAGCAGCATCATATGTATTTTCTTTTCAATAGAATCAGTTGCCAGTTCAGCGCTTGTCCTGTGTTTTCTCCTCTGTCTTTGTCCTAGTCGCACTGTAAGTTATAATGTTGAGGCTTACTACTCCCTGCCGTTCCCATATGATGTATCTGGGAAATCAGTTTCCTTAGTACAACCCTGCCGTGCCAGTGTGCGTCGGCGGAGGAAGTTAGGAGGTCAACTTTTGACAAACACCATGCATTACTTTGAGTAGGTTACCTATGCTCATTGCTCAGTGACAACCAAGAAATATGCGAGCACCGAACGAAAGCTGTCCACAGCACGGGGTCTGATTTTCGTCTTGGCGAGAGTGAAGGAGCTAAAAGACTGTTTGCAAATATGTTGCCTGTCAGTGCGAGAAAAAGAAGAGTTTGGGAAGTCAACGCACTGGATTTTCTGTGACCAAAAGGGGGACCGAGCAGAGCACAGATTTAAGATTAATAATTAGTGAAGCATCATCAATCAGGTGCGACTCGTGTTCTCACCGAATGGGCAGTCAAGGCTGACATGACACTCGTGTTCAATCCGCGCTTCACACTGACTCCTTTTAGGTAACATGGAAAATCGGTGCTAAAACCTCAAGTTCGTATAAATTGTGTTGGTTTCGCCTGCCATGAAGTGTCAATCACCGACGAAAACAGAACAAAAAAGACATTGATGTATCGTCTGCTAAACGAGATTTAAAATTATTTGTGAACGTCTGCTATATCACAAAGGATGCAATAGACCTTTTTTAAAAGCTGCATCTACCTACCCTGGCACCAAAAGGCAGTGTGCTGTCACAAACCAACTGTAGCTGAGGACAGAAAAGGCCGAGCAAGACAAGGAAGGCAAGCGGCAAGGCCATTGCAAGCTGAGGAGGCATGTGACAGAGCCTTGCACGAGACATCCTCGCGCCGCCGAAATTCATTTTCTTGCTGCACATAAGCTGACATTCCCTGGTGTGACATATGGCAATAGAATTCCTGCCTTTTGTTCTAATTAAAAAGTTTTCTCCAGCAAAAAAGAAAAAAAAAAGATCAAAAAGGTCTTTGATCGATCCGCTTGCCACAGGATATTCCACAGAGTTCTGACACCCAGCGTCAAAAGTCTGCGATTGTGGTTCGAGCATCAAAATAATCTGATCAAATTTTGACGCCCAGCGTCAAAATTTCGTGTGAATGAGCCATTACGGTTAGGAAAAAGACAAGATAAAAGATTCACACCTTTAACTGCGATGTGAAGAAAAAAACTTGTTACATACCATATTCTACACAATATCCTCTTGAACCACAGGGCCTGCCACTCCACGAGTCTCCATAGCCGCAACAAGGGGTGGCACACCTGCCGGTAGGAAGCATCAAATTATAAGAAAATTACTGGTTCAACAGTCAACACTGAAATCACAGGCGCTTTGAAGTTACACACATGTGACACCTGGTTTAACATTAAGGAAAATTAAAAGTGCACACGATTAAAGCAAACACTGCACCAAACTTGCTCCTAGACTTCAAACTTTTAATATGAATGGTGGGAAAGCATGAAGCTGTGAAATCCAAGCCTGAAATCCCATGCTGGACATGTGTATACTCACCATAAAGAAACCATTAGTGAAATTATCCGAGCCCTTTAACTTGTACTAGAAATATTGCTCTCCCTTCAGACTGCTTCGCCACCCCAATACCCCTCAAATCTCATTCCCTGATCTTAGTCAGCTCAGTTCAGTGGCTGTCACTTTTATTTTCAAAATTTCTCTCCTAGTGCACATTACGTATTTTTGTGCATATTTCCCTGCTTTCGACACGGGCACTCACTGTCAACACGCCGCTTCACAAACCGCTCCCAAATCGAGTAAGAATGCTGCTGCCACTCTATATCATACTATGAGTGGCCCCATTTCACCTATGTACAGCTGCAACTTTAAAGAGAAATGCACAAGCTATTCCTGTAAGGAGAACAGCAAATTGAGGCATGAAAATTGACACTGTGTGTAAACATAGAGACAGTCAAACTCCAAACCCAAGCAGGGTCAGCTCTCGCATCACGATTCAGTGCTTTACCATCACAGATATTGCCTACCCTGATTTTGAAAAAGTCTCTCCTGTATCAGCATTCAGTTTAACGAAAAAAACTCACAGAATCACAAAGAATGGTAGCAGCAGTAGTACTCATTTTGGGATATGAAGAAGCTTGTTGACCATTTAACGCAGGGAATTAAAGCAAAGTGTAGATAAGAAAAATGTTTTAAACTTTATTTTTTTGCTTTGTATACATCTTTGTAAGTATGGCCTATGGGCGCCGCCATCTTGCTTACTGGGGGGTACTTAGGTACACTGTGGGCCGCGCCATAATCTGACTACGTCTTCTTCTCAAGGCATCGTAATTAGGTTATGGCGCAGCTCACGCGCTCTCCAGCTAGGAAGATGGCGGCGCCCAGGGGACGTACCTGCAAATGTGTATATGTAATCGATCACTAAAGTTATTTTTGGTGCAAATGAACTTCTAAGCAAAAAATCTTTTAGGTTGCAAATTTGCGACATCGAGCAGTTAGGCCTGGACAAATAGGTTATACTGTTTCACCTTACATCCGGATGCAGAGGACGCTACGTTACAACCTCGACCTCCTGTGCTCTGGCCTCGGCCGCTCTAGCCTCAGCGTCCCCCAGTCAGGTCGGTCCTGGTCTCAACCTGCTCCATGCTGGCTTCAGCCTCGGTGGCCCTGCCCTGGTTTCGGCCTCGTTGGCCCAGGCTTTGACCTTATTAGCCCTGGCTTCGGCCCCGGTCTGAGGCTCACTGGCCCTGGTCTCGACATTGTTGGCCCAGGTCTCGCCCTCCTTTATCCGGGACTCCTTGGACCTAGCAGAGGCCTCTTCAGCAGAGGCCAGGGCAGGTACAGCGAAGACAGGTCCTCGAGCTTGTGATGCAACGTCCTCAGGATCCCCAGAAGATGCACGGAGCTATAAACAGAAAATATAAGCAGTAATGATAGATTATCAGAGTTGTACAACAAAGTATAACATTGGAAGTCCTAAGCAACTGCTTCCCAGAAGTGACCTCTGACTGACCCGGAAAGCTGCATTCCCGTTGCCACCAACTTTTTCTAATGCTGAGGAAAATAACATCATATGTCATCTGCCCTCACAGTGCAAAGGTTACTGAAACAGTATATCTAGTCTCCAATTACTTCAGCATTCTGAACAGCTTGCAGTTTGCATGAATGAATAATTGATAAGTACACTTGAAAAAGCAATAATGACATTGATTAAAATATATCTAACCAAGCACCAAAATGGCAACATTATATAAATCTGATGCGCTCTCCATAAAGCTAACACTTTCTAACAAAAATGTTGTTATACATACCCTGTGACCTTTCAGCTCCTGGCGAAGCTTTTTGAGAAGCTTGTCCTCCACAGTGTCTTTTTTTTTTTCTTGTGGGCTGCTTGTTCTGCAACGAGTGATTTCAAGAAAAAAAAATCAGCAAGTTTTTGCAAAATTTCGAAAGACGTTGCGAACGTCGCTGTTGAAGCCGCAGGATCACAGCGTGGTTCATGTTCCGAAGTTCCGCGATTATAAGCTGCGCCATTGTAAACTCATTTCCTTGACGTCACACTTCGAGCAGAAGAAGCTCTTGTCTAAAAAATAATCAGCGACGGACTCACCCGGTCTGTGTCCGCCGGAGCATCATCTCGTAGAGTGCGAATCGTCATCATCGAGGAACACCATCTGTAGTTCTTCAGCCCATTTCGACCAAGTTTCCAGTCGCTTCCCGGTCGTTGGATGCCACTCAAGCCGTCCCGCTCACCTTCGATGAAGCAACAGCGAGCGTTATTTCATCGCTCCACCCGGACTGCGTTGCGCCGCCACCGTGTTGATATGCGCCTCCCAGTCCCGCGCACTTCATGGCGCTCGCTGCCGACGACGAGTCAGAGAAGGCGGGAATGGACGCCGTCAAGTCTGGCATCGCGGTCACCGATGCGAAGCCCGGTTGCGATGCCAGGGTCCGTACGAGCTCACGGTCCGCGGCCATGGCTGTGCTTTCTCGTCGAGTCAACGGGAACACTGAACGGCCTCTCGTCGGTGGCGGAAACAATGGACGCGCACCACCGCCCGCGAAGAAGACTCACGTTCGTCGGCGTGAACGTGGCTGTCGCAGCCACCACTGTTCCGGGGAGGCTCAGCGGTAATCCCACTTCGGAATGCTAAAGTTTTCGAAGTAACATCATCGAACGTTCATAAAAAAAACTGGTTTATTTAAAGACAACAAAACTGACGGCTGATCAATCCGGCACCATCTGGATGATTGTATGGGTATGGATACTACTGCGGCACCTTGCAACGCACTTTGTAACGGGCGGTAGCTTGCGCCACCTAGCTTAAGTCTAAAAAGCGACGTATTTGCAAACGTGGTCGGTCACGCTCGCGACTGATAGAAATACCAAGAACTCAAACGCGTCACGACAGCAACAGACCCCAAATCATTCGAATTTTAACACTGCAATGAAACCACGCGGAGCTCTCAGACGCAGACACGATGAAGCTTGTTTTTTCTGCGTCGACGAAACTCAGGAGCATCGATTTCGCGACCCGGTGCACCACTACACAAACTGCACTGCTTTATAATCCGACTGAGAACTATCGACGACAGAAGATTGCTCGTCGATGTTGGTGGGGCAAATAACACGTAGCACTGATGATTAAACGATGGAATCACAGACGTAGTCGGTCATGCTCGCATATTTGTTGATTGTCACCAAGCAATCACTTTCTTTGTACGCGGTGTTCGGATTCATCCGCCAAGCGCCTGACTTTTGCGGGTTGCGATGTGATGTCAGCCTCCCGAAGCTGGTGGATCAAACGGTAATAGCGTATCTCACTCGCTGTTGCAGGCTGCTCACCGCGTCCGTGTAACCAGAACGAACTGGAAACGACAACAACTACGCTGAGACTGCAGCGGCTACCTTTCATATTCCTGAAGATATCAACTAAACGTACCTTTCACAGTTTTTCTTGCGCTCTTGTGAGGGGTAACCACTGCGTCAACGCAACTATTGTTGTCGTTTCCAGGCGGCTCATTTCTTGATCGCCACGCCGGGAAGCTACGCGTCCACAGCGTGTGCGCAACTTATAATGGTCACTACACTCATTCTGGGACGGTGCAATCGCAGACGTAGTCGGTCACGCCTGCCACCGGAACGCTGAGAACTTGATCAGGGGGCTCACGCACAGCACTGAAACGCCACAGCGCTCGAAACAACGCGAGCTGCTGACGCCATTTCATGACACAGACACAGCGACGAAGCACAATGTTGTCCTCATTTCATGGTGAGCGCAGCTAAGCATACTCGGTGCATGCTCTGATTATCCTTTCAGCGCACTTCCATAGTAAACTTTTCGTTCACTAAAAGAAACCTTAGAGAGGCAACTGATAAGTCACTGCACGAATACTTACAAGATCCTTCTAGCTTACTTCCATAACGTTCTTCTAGTGCACTAAAAGATACCCAGGACAGGCTACTAGTAAGACGCTTCGCATGAACTTAGAAGCTACTTAGGTCTTAGCTAGTTTACTAACAGTATACTATTACAGTACTTACTTCAAGCATACTAAGAAAGGACACTAATAGTACAAGCCTACTTCTGGCTAGCATCCCTTAAGGACAATTTTAGTATACTTCTTGAGAATGAGTATCTTAAAAGACCGTAAAGTATACTTAAAGTAACCTAGTTTTCGCTAAGGGACGGCATCTCGGCTGCAGTTTTGGTAAGTGCTGGGAATCGCAATAGGCGGCTTTAGCGTAGCGTTGCCGTGCGCAGCGAAATTGCTACTGGTAGCTCGCGTTGTAACTTTGAAGCATGCTTTTCAGCGCGCTTAAAGCCTTACCAGGCGTACAGTGGCCTCCGCAGATCACGGTAACGGTCTTCTAAAACTTGCTACTGGTAGTAAGCAGACACCGTGTTGTTTTTGGTCTTATTGACTTTGCACGAGTGTGCTGCCTTGTGATGTTTCTTTGAAAGCTCGGATCGTAGCGCTCAAGCTGACGAGTTAATTTCTCTAGAGCTGTGCATGAGGCACTCCGATACCTGAATTCTAAAGTGTAGGCAATGGGCATTACATCAACGCGGAACCAGAAAGGCTGCCAATTTGTTCTGCGTTAACTTGTGTTTGATTGGATGATGCAGGACTCATCTGCTGTGGCCAAAAGTGCTAGTGAGGACCCAGCACAGATGGCAGCTCCACCACCACCAAATAATAGGTATAAAAACAAGTCTGGATTCATCTTCATAATACGTGGTTTGCGCCTGTGTCAGGACATGTATTATACGTGAGTGCCGTCGGTAGCCTCATGCTGGTGGCCATTGATGTTGTGGGGTTGCAGCTTTGCTAAACTGTGATCATGGTGAACTACGCTGGCTCCAGTGGCCCAAAGTGACAGCTTTTGTACCCATCTCAGCAATTGCACAAATGTGTGAACATGACCTGCACTGTGCATAACTATGAGGAAGGTAGAAGATGCAGTCATTAACATATTGTGCCTGGTCGGTAGCTCCCAAGGTGGCTGTAGGTCCAACCGTGTTGATATTTCTAGTAAGGTCAGCAAGACTCACAAAAACTTAAGTGTACACATGGTGCAGAGACAATGCCTCCGGTTCTGTTTCCCAACAGCAACCTGCTTCCACCAAACATTCCCGGCAGCACCACATCTAGCCACAGCCCTGAAATCGACAAGGGAATGACAAGACAAAACTGGCTCACCAATTTCAAAACCGGTGTCTGCTATTTATATAAAAGGTCCACTTCTGAAAATATTTGCTGCAAAGGGCTGTGGAAGCAGGACGCACCTGGCTGGGCATTGCCTGTCGAACTCGGCAAAATTATTGGCGTGCAGTTTTGTATACTTCTCTTAATTTTTTGCACTCAGGTATTCATGTCCTCCACCTTTGGCTAGATATCACAATCTGTCACAGTTGAGAGTAAGTAGCAGATGGTTCTCGCCACCACAGAGAGCAATATTTTCTGCGTACTGAACTGGACAAACACTGACAAACTTTGTCATCATCACCTGACGGTCTAAACCTCTGCCTAGGCTTAGCCCAAATGCCTGCACTAGCACATATTTCCCCGCACGTCTCCGAGCAAGCGCGCCCGTGGCCGAATGGTTCTCGTGCTTGGTTCCCACAGAAAGGGCCAAGGTTTGATTTCTGGCCGCGCATGCACATTTTTGTTAATGTACCGCACCTCCTCCAAAATTTCACGAATGACAGATGATCAGTTGAAGAATGAACAGAAACTAAACGTTTAATTTGGCAGACTTGTGCCGAAAACAAAAATACAAAGGGGTAGCATCACAGGCATCGAAGGTCGGCGGAGCAGCAAGATCGAGCGCAAGAGCGAGACTCTGTATCGCCACGCAGAGCCCCTCATGTACATGCGTGGACTTCTGGAACAATTGGCATAGAAAGTTCGGTGCGTAGAACATTCTGACTTCGAAGAAGCAACGGGATTCTTGAATTAAACCTGAATGCAACATTTCCAGAAATAACAAAAAGGTGCATGTGCGGCCAGGCATCATACCTCAGCTCTTTGTGTGCAAGCTAAGCACGATAACCATTTGGCCATGAATGCTTGCTCGGAGACGTGCATGGCAGTATGAGCAGCCTCTGCAACTAACCACATCTGACATGTACCAAGTGGTGGTCACCAACACGGTGGCCTTGGAAGTACTCAAATGAGTTGTCTTTTATACTGACATGACATTACCTGCAAACCATGTATGTGTGCTACTGAAACTGTGTCATGTCAGCTGTGCACCAGTCACCAGTCATCAGGCAGCGGAAAAAGATAAGCACAAGCGACCAACGATCGGTGCAGCAAAATCACGACACACGGTGGTGGCCGACACAAAGCAGCCTATCCTAAAGCTTGTATTTTGAAAGCTATCTTATCCCTCAATTTTCTGGCAACCACCCACATGTTGAGACATGGAACATGACTGGCATTTGTTATCGGCGCGCTCGGGAACAATAGCGCTGCCTGTCGCGATTTTGCTACACCGGTCATCGGTCACTTGTGCTAATCTTTTTCAGCTGCAGCTGTACACTGCTACCCTGGATGGTGAGGGCCTGAACTGCCCCCAGCTGCACTGTTTAGGACCTCTCGCCCACTCAGCAGGAGCAGCTGGATGCATTGCACATGCTGCTGAACACCCAACATTGCAGCATGAGTGCCCTACACTCTATGAAAAAAGGGAGCGCGACTTAGTCCCTTGGGGGACCAAAAGCACTGCCACCACCATTAGTCCCCTAGGGGAGCAACTGTAACGGGAGCAACTGTTGCGCCCCGTCAGTTAGTCCCTCGCACTAGCATCGTTAGGACCAACTGTTGCACCCTTTCAGTTACACCTCGAGGACTAGCTGTTAGTTAGGCCCTTACACTTGGTCCTTTGGGACCAACTATTACACCGTTTCAATTGAACCTCGAAGACGAACTGTTAGACCCTTGCGCTTGGACCCCTGGGACTAACTGTTACACCGTTTCAAATGAACCCCGAGGACTAACTGTTAGGCCCTTGCACTTGGACCCCTGGGTCTAAACATTGCGCCCTTGGATTTAGGCTTCTGGGACTAAAGGTTTATCCTTTACATTTGGTCCCGAGCCACAAATCTCCGAAACGAAATTGTGGAGTTCAGGTTAAACGTAGCTTTATTGCCTCGTAGATACACATTGCATTCAAGGATGAATGAAGTCAAAGTTCCTGGGCGGTATAGTATCCACGATAAGGCCAAATGCCGAAGAGTGCACTTGCGTCGACGATGGCTTGGACACTGGGACGTCTGTCCAAGTCAGTCGTGGTCCCAGCACCGTTTATTGGGGCCCCGGCAGCTTCTTGCCTGTTTGCGAGGAATTTGGATTATTAGTAACAGGGCAGCGTAAATACCCAATCGCTTGACAAATAAGTTATAACACACGCATAATAAATTAACAAATAGGCTGCATAAATGATACAATGGTTCACATCCAACATGCGGTCTGTTGAGAGCAGACCAGCGCAATATTAGATTTTAGTAGACCGTTCGCTGCGAATTACAGACCCAGCGCGTGCGTGCTCAAACTATGCTTCGAAGTGACGGCGCGATCTCCTGCCATCAACGCGAAAGTCTAGTGTACAATCGAATAAATGTCTCCATTAATGCCGGTTCTCACACGCAGCGAAGCGCTGATGTAGCGCTGCTTACGTGTCATGAGCTACTTTTCGTCTGCCATGAGCAAGAATTTTGTCGGTGCGATACAAAGCTGGTGACCG